TCTGAGCACTATAGTAGTTATATACGTTGTCCGGGGGCTTATAGACTTTCTGTAATACTACGTATCTTCATGAAAAAAATGTAGCATTTTAGAAAAACATTCAGGATTATTCAATATACCAGGAATGCTGAGAAGTGAGAACTGATCAGAAAATGCTACATTTTTGGGGATTTAGCTGATTTGAGAATGCTTTAATTTAAACTATTTTGGGTTAATACAGAATATGCACTGAGATTCTCAGTTAAGTGAATTGTACTCATAGTGTTTAGTAACTTTCTATGCAAATTCTTCAATTCACATTCTGATTCCATGTTAATCACTTGGCTTCCAAATGTTAAAACACCAATTGAAATGTTTACGGCCAATAATTAATAAATTACTTTAATGATATCTAGCAATTAGCGAAATAAAAGTGAAACATTTAAAAATACAGTGACACAGAAACCCAACATGATCTCAGTACCAGCGAAATACGTTTTGAATGGGTTTAGTTTTCGATCACACACTTGGTCTCATGCAAGATTTCAACAGTTACTGCGTGTGAATTAAATCAGTAATGTCGCCTTTAAAATATAGATTGCTTTTATCTAAACACAGACACAATGTTTAACTGGTGTAATCAGACACCCTGTATAACTGATATATCAGAAAATTAAAAAAAATGTATTACGAATTTTTACAACTCTATTTTCCAGTTTTTTTCCCTAGTAAATGACTGACAATTCTTGGTTTAGTGAGTTTTGACAAGTTGGGCTCCCGGATAGCAATGTATTGTGATACCAGTTGCAGCTGAAGTTTGAACATCCCTGCGGAGGACAGTTAATTTAATCTATAATCTGTGCAGTCTGAATATTCAATAGATTCAACTGAATGTTTATTCAATAAGCCCTAACGTGCGGAAATTGCAAAGGCTGAAATTGCAAAAATATCTAATATAATAGCTTGTTGCATTGATTTGGATATTGCAATTCCATTGTTAATGCTCCATACTTCACAGTTTAGTTAATAAACCACAATGTTACCATTATTTAGCACACTGAATTAATTCTACTTATTTTCTTTGTCTGTGCGCTGATCCGGTACTACTACGGTTATCTGTTTTGTCGGTGGAATAAATCTTCATTTTCAGTTGACTCTAAATATTACACTTACATTATAGTTTGTTATGGGATTCTTCACTAGATTACTATCATTAATTCCTTCCAAAGTACTGAAAGGTGTTTGCTGTTACCTTAAGGCACAATAACTTTTTAAAATCTAGGTCAAAAATGCAGCGTTAAGAAAAAATGAATGACAGTTGTATTTCCAGTTGTCAGCTTTGGCCTAAATCACGTCAAGTCAACACAACTTGCTGTTTAACCCTCTAAGGACACATGACATGTGTGACATGTCATGATTCCCTTTTATTCCAGAAGTTTGGTCCTTAAAGGGTTAAAGGGTCAGTCCAACCAAAAACACAGGTTTTTAATAAAATAATGCTCTTCGTTAGAGCAACCCTTCTAATTTAGCTTAGTTCCAGCACAGAAGCCAAGTTCTCCCCTCAACCCGATACTTGTCCCCTAGCGTCACTCAATCTAGTTTAACGAGGATGACAGTGGCAGCATGGAGTGGGGTCTGTGCCACCACTGGATTCCTGTCGCCAGCATGCTGTGCGTCAGACATACAATAAGCTAAAAATTCACATTAGCCAGGAGTTCTGATCTGGCTAATAACGCCTTAATGACGTAAAGGGGTTAAACGTTGTATGTGCAATGTTTTATAGTGAAACGCTGCACACACAGATTATAGATACAATGACCACTTCAAATCACTGAAGTGGTCATGGTACTTAGAATAATCCTTTAATGAGTAAACTTTGCAAACTGGTTCTCACGTGACCTCCAGCTCTCTGTTTAATGAATGAGCCACTTGCCGGCTTTGCAAGCTAACGACACCGATTAAAAGATTTTTCATAACTAGGTCCTATAAAATGAATGTTTACATTTCTGCGCTGATAGATTCCATATTTTTCCGAGCAATTTAATTTAAGCTGTCCATGAATATTTATTTGAAGACATGTACCATCCATGGGAAATTCGGGCATATTGACAGGCTGGGTCTATTGGCAGACAGAAGAGGATGCTACATTTAGCGAGATTAAGAGATATTGTTTCTCTGTGAGTGACTTTTATTTAATTACAAGCGAGTGCATTAAACTCTGTTAGGTTAATCCTTTGTTTTAACATGTGATCCAGAACAGGATTACGTTCTGAATAAACATGGATGGCACTTCAGTGGGAGCGGAGCAAAGCTTGGCAACGACTTCTTACCGATGACAAGATAGTGACATAGATCAGTTAGAAAGAGCTAGATTACGCCTCTTGTTTTTCCCAGTTCTCTCACAAAATGAAAAGCAGCTCATGAAGCTGATCTATTTATCTGTCTGTCTGTCTATGTGTCTGTCTGTGTGACTGTCATCCTATCAATCCTCTGTATTTTAGTCTACCATCTGTGAGTCTATCATGTTGCTGTCATATTGACTGTCTGTCAATCTATCGTCTGTCAATAAATTGTCTGTCAATCTCTTGGCGGTCTGCCTATCCATCTCTCTTCCATCTGTCCATCCGTATATTGTATAAATGTTGCAATTTATTGCTGATTGCTGGGAGATAAACACAGAAACTGTGTTTTTTTTATAATATAAGCTTCCCCCCCGCACCCCCCAAAAAAAGATACAGCTGAAAATTATGAAAGAGATAAAGAAATAATGTTTTTGTTTAATTAAAACAATATAGTGAATATAGTTTTCTTACAAGAGTTCTATATTTTTGCTTTTTCTTTCATACTACAACATTGTGTTGTGTAAACCCCTTCCAGTCAGTATGTACCAGTAAGACTATGAGTTAATGAGGCAACTTCGACAGAAATTTCTGCTATTTGCCCATTGAGAAATCTCCTTTTACTACCTCTGTCAATCTGCCCGTCTTATTGTACCAATTTCCCTTCCCCATTCACTGAAAACTCCTAATACCACAAATTAACACTTTATAATCATACAAGAATATGTAAAGTGCTCTACAGCTTCCTGTCGCTGATACGGGTTTCAACAGATGGGTAGGGCTAGAGACATAAATACCAGCGTCAGATTACATAAGTGCCAGGGCTAACACATTGCCTTTGCCAGTCAAATGATACATATCTCAAAATGACCATTGATAGGAGGTGGACAGCTAAATGAATGGCGTAACAGCATATCTAAAGAGGTTACATTATTGCAACTTTTTATAAATCATCTGCAACAGAATTCGTTAACATTAATTAGTTTTATTAATTTTTGGAGAGGTTGCACTGGTCCCTATGTCGGGTGGCAATACATACAAATCCCAAGGTTTTTACATCAGCACTATGTTCCACGTAGCAACGCGTTTTATGACCTGATATAAATATTCCAGCATACGGACTGTATCGCACAGAACCTGCTTTTGTACACATTGTAGCCTTCTGACGTAACGCTGGTAATTCACAAGTGTATATTTAATAGATTACGTAATGTGCAAGAAGTGGGTGAAAATAGAATTGCATTGATAAACAAGATAACATCGGATTATGTGGCTACTGAACATATAATTAACAAACCCCGCTTTAACTAGGTTTGAATATATTTATATATAGATAATATATATATAAATAAGAAAAGTTCACGCCGTTCTAAGCCAAAGGGAGTTATTCTCTAAGCTGAGAATTGACAAAATTTAGACAATGAGTTTCATCTAAAAACAAATTCTAACTTGGCAACAACCACTATTGGCTATTTGTGCCTGAATTTTGCAATTCAGATTTCTTGGAAATAAACGTCTAAGTGTGTAAATAAATACACATTTATCATTGGTTTTTTAATTAATCCGGGTGTTTGCGGGTAATGTCATGCAATGCAATAACTAGTTTAACACAGTGTGACGGATATTGTACCATGAGGGAGACATAGTAAAAAAAAAAATATCCCTAACTGACTGAGGTTAGTGGGTTATATGTAGGTTAATGTGTTTTGGTAGTGTGTAGGGGGATAATGGGGAGTATAAGGGTAGTGTAGGGGTTAATGTTTGATGTACTCATTGGATTAATGGTTAGTGTTGTGTACTGTAGGGGTTAATGTTCAGTGTCAGCAAATTGTAAGGGTCAATGTTTAGTGATAATGTAGTGCATTAGGGTAATATAAGGGTTAATGGATATTGTAGTGTATTACAGTAATGTAATGGGTTAATGTGTAGTGTGTTACCGTAATGTAATGGGTTAATGTGTAGTGTGTTAGGGTAGTGTAAGGGTTAATGTGCAGTGTGTTACCGTAATGTAGTGTGTTATGGTAGTGTAAGGGTTAATGTGTAGTGTGTTAGGGTAATGTAATAGGTTAACGTGCAGTGTGTTAGGGTAGTGTAAGGGTTAATGTGCAGTGTGTTACCGTAATGTAGTGTGTTATGGTAGTGTAAGGGTTAATGTGCAGTGTGTTACCGTAATGTAATGGGTTAATGTGTAGTGTGTTAGGGTAGTGTAAGGGTTAATGTGCAGTGTGTTACCGTAATGTAATGGGTTAATGTGTAGTGTGTTAGGGTAGTGTAAGGGTTAATGTGCAGTGTTACCGTAATGTAATGGGTTAATGTGCAGTGTGCTCGGGTAATGTGATGGTTAATGTGCAGTGCGTTAGGGTTGTGTAGGGGTTAAGGAACATAGTATCCCAGAGCTGCCTGAGATTAGTGGTAGTTACAGTTGTAATACATATGACGTGTAGTATATTCATTATAGAGCTGGTTGGAGTGTGTTAATACCTATATCTCTCTATATAAAACATTCATTAAAATAATAAATTACAATCTATGTCCCAGTACTGGCAGTGTGACATGTATCAAGCTGTGGGCAGTGGGGGAGGTTATTCCTCCTTAGATCACTCCTTTCTATGTGTAGGGGAGGAGGAAGAAATGTAAAATTTACAGAGAGAGAGGGATAGAGATAACTGCCCAGCAGAGAGACACAGAGAGACAGTCACACAGTGAGTGCCAGCTAGAGAGACACAGAGAGACAGTGAGTGCCAGCTAGAGAGACACACAGAGCTGGATAGAGACAGTCACAGAGAGAGAGAGTGATACATAGTTACAGAGCAGGAAGCAGTGTGGGTTGGAGGGGGCAGGGAGGAGGCTGGCTGTCTGGCTCCTTGTCACTGCCTGCGTCACTAGCCCAGGAGTTTTCCACTAACGAAAAGGCTGAGCTCCTGATGAGAAGGAGTCAGAGCAGGAGGAGCCCTGCCTGGAGCAGCATTCTCTGCAGCCTTGTCTAGACTATGCGAGGGGAGCTGACCCAGGAGCTTGCACTCAGCTTATGATCTGCCAGAGGAACCAGGGGAAGGTAGGTACCGACCTGCTGCACACTGACTTGCTGAAAGCACTCCATGGCAAGAGTGAGGGGAGGGAGGGGGGTATTGGGGCATTTAAAGGGGTCTGCACTGTCCCTTTAAGGACTTAGAGGGCATGTTTAGAATTTGTGCTGGGGGGTGCAGGGGGCTCTCTCCCGGTGGGCTGGTTAATACTGTGATGTTTTGTGACTCGGTGGATGGCTGAGAGTGCTGGGATAGCAGGCTGGCTGCTCTGGAAGGGCTGGAGCTGGGATTCATACTGTGTGCGGGGCTGCCGGTCTCTGCTAAGCGAAGCCAGCCAGCGCTGAGACTGAGCGCCGATCGCCCTCTAGCGGTGGAAGGCGGTACTGCAGACAGCTATTGCCTTTTCGTGTAACTCGAGTTTCTGTATCAGGAAAGGAATTTAATGCACTTTGTGTTTGTTTTCACAATATCTCTGGAGCCGATTGTTTGATGGCAATGTGTATATATTTTATATAACTGTCTATTTTTATCGATTCGTTGCCATTATCGTGGCTTGCCTAATGAGTGGAATATTAAAATTTTATTTTTGAAAAAAAATGTATTTTTTTTTTTTTTTTATAACTGTTTTACATAACATTCTAGTGGTTAGTTTTTATTTGTTGTCAGTTAAGTATTTTTATATTTTGGTTTTCTTCATTTCTCTTGTATTTTAATTGGCGGTGTCTGAACTATAAATACCAACATGTAACTTTATACTGTGAGTGGATTACACCACCTATTGCCCTCAGCCAAAGGCAGTAGTGTTGGGAGTTGCAGTCTGTGCCCAGGGCTGTGTGTATCGCTGTATAGTGTGATGATCTTTCAGATATCAGTGGGATTTTGGGGTCCCCTGGTGTAATTAAATTTGGGAGGGGGGAGGGGGGGGTCCTGTAATCTCCCCCCCTCCCCCAGACCCAGCTATTGTGACCATCGCAGGTCAGAAGGGGAATTTGATGTTTGTTGAAACTTTGTATCACAAAGCAAAAGTTTTTAGAGGGAATATTTTGGCGGTCTGTCCATCACAGAGGGGGAGGTAGAAGAAGGAGGACCTCTGACGTAGGCAGACAATATTACATCACTGGGTCTCTTTAATTCCTGTAACCTGGTGACATCATCATTCTGATTCACATTGGTTTCCTGCCAGTGATGTCATCATTGCACTGAATTCAGACATTTACTGTTCCTGTGTTCATACTGCCATTGTATACTCTGTATTTTATATTGCTATGTTATATCCATGCTGTGGTGTTAATTTTTTTTTTTTTTTTTTATCCAATTAATTTATTGAATTGTATTCTATATTTTTGCCATTCTGTCTTCTGGAATGATATGAAATTGATGAAGCCCTTCCAGCCCCCCATAGCTGTTAGGTGAGATGCTAATAGTGTCCTTTATTCAAGCTGGGAATCTCTGTAGAGCTGAATGCACAGAGCTCCCCTGGGGTATTAACCCATTCAGGACACAGGCTGGTCTCTCTCATAAAACCATTAACCCATCTGGTGCCTGACACTTCCAGTATGGTACTCCTATCCACCTCTAGACCAGTCAGTACATTAGATATTATTCTGTGCTACAAGCTTATTACTGTATGTGAGTGACAAACAAGTGTGCTGACAATTGTGTTGTTTTGATTTAATTATTGTTTTTTGTACATAACCTTTTTGTTAAATGCAATTGTGGTGTCTTGTGTAACCTGTGGACTTATGTCATTAGGCTAATTGAATACAATGAGTGTGACCTTTTTATGCCCATGGCTAGTGTAGTTCCTGATGTGAATTAACACCTTCCCCCCCCCCTCCCCTGGCCTACATTGTATACTGTGGGAATCCCTGTTATCTCTCCATAGACAAGACCCATTGTATGCAGAGTGCGAGGCCTGGGTGCCTATCCTCTCAACCACACAGGTGCTAACTGGAGCTGGTATTTACTATCAGTGACAATGCCATGTAATTAATTAGTTCATCAATTCACTGCCACCTCCTAGTATTGGGGAGAAAATCCAATCAAAGCTAATGTTTATTCACATTATATTTTTAACGACGTTGTAAAAACCAAACCGCCTATTCTGCCATATTACGTACGTTTTAGTTTGTGTGTGTGTGTGTGTAATATGAAATTTATAACATTAATATTATTGTTGTTACATTGATGTCCTGATTATTATTGAACCCTGCGCCCCTACGAAGTGGATGTCAAGCAGTAGTTAACTCTAAAGGGGACATTTGGGGGAAAATGATTTTTTCCTTCTAAGTCACTGCCCTGACATGTGGGATTGCCACTCTCATTACTGCAATGCAAATTTTAGTGAGGGCTTTTTCCCCCCTTTCTCCTTGCTGTGGATTACTGCACTGTGTGCCACAGGTTCATAAGATCCTTTTTTGTTTTTCCCCTTTCAAACCTGTTCAGCAAGTAGTAGTGAGGTTCCATCCAGCCTTACTTCTCTTGGCCTGATAAAATTTATTTCCTGCAAACTAGTATAACCAGTTTATTTTCCCTCCTTCCTAAACATCACCGACGTATTGAGCAAAATTAATTGCAATCCATCTTTATCTTTCCTGAATCTGATTGTCATTAATCAAATTATATAAGCCGTGCAAACAGTTATTTAATATGTCATGTCCCCTTTAAGTAATCTTTGCCCGTACATTGGTTCCCCTTTGCGTCATCAGCATAGGAAGCACAGGGTATCTGCACTTTCTTTTTTTTTTATTCAGTTCTATTTTTTTGAGCATATTCGATTCCTTTTTGTGAATATTGTGATTATCTAATAATGCTTTAGCGATGGGTTCGTGGCTCCTGTCTTGCAAAGGGATCCTATTTTACCCATTGGAATACATTAACCACCTGAGAATTTGTAGCTCTGCTCATATGTTACATATGAGCCTCTTCCTTTCTGTAAAAATTTTTTTTTTTTTTCGAGATACCATCTATGACAATTGTAGTTTTTTATTATTCTAATATTTGTATCTACTGAAACTCTAATTCTTAAACCTTTGACCACGTTTGCTGTTAACACACTGCCACAGGCTAAAAAACTCCACGTGTACACACTACATTGCCCAACATGCTGAGCCAACCTGCCTAATGTCTTTTAGACTTTGTGGGCAATTTAGTTTGGAAATTGGCAGTGCCAAGGTCAGAATGTCTCTCGAGAGGCTAGACACAGTGTTTTTGTTTTGTACGTCTTAAAATTAAAAAAAGTGACTATAATATGCTCAGATTGGAGATGCTGTGGTCATAGTTGTCGTGAATGCAGGTTTTTAGAGGGAAAACAAAATAAACATTTTTGCAATTCCTTGTAGAGGGGCGCATTCTTCTTTTGGGCCTTGTGTCCGGATCCTGCTGAATATGTTTACCGTTGCCATTCAGAGTGTGGCCCGTTCGACAATCATTCCTGACATTCTTCTATATATGGGAAATACCAGAAGCGTTGGCGAGAACGTAAGCCCAGGAATATGTTCTCCGCCCTGGAGCTGAGTTACGCACACACCCATTATTGGAAAAAACAGGGCTCATCTCTAAGACTGAGCGTCGACAACACTCGTCGTGATTTAACTGCATTTCAGGAGGGTTTTAGGGGAGCAGGATGGAAAGTTGCAGCATTGGTCTGACTGCAACACACAGTACTCTCAGCCTGCCAGAGTGAGACTGAGAACAGCCTTCAGTAGCCAGCAATAAACGCTACATTGAGAAAGCATCACACTTTTTTAGTTGGCCAAAACTTGCAACCCCCCTGCCAAACTTGTACAAGTTTAGTGAATGACCCTATGCTTCTACCCTGGTTGCAATAAATATATGGATCAGAAACAAATAATCAATAAACGCTTTATGTAAACGAAGTACTCATTAGCATGTGATTGCTGTGATAGTGGTGTGCGTATTTCCTGTGCCGTATATGGCAGAGATTTTTTTTTCCTAGTTAATTTTCCAGGACTCTTCCCCTTTAACACCATCTATATTGTGGGAGCCATCCTGCCAGACTGGAATTCCTGCGGGCTTGTTCCTTTCACTCTCGTACTTGCTCAAAAAGCTGTTTTTAGTAAAATAGAGTAAGGTGCCAGAGCCAAGAACAGAATGTCTTTTTTGGCAGTTGCAAGCGAAACAGATTATTTTATTCCAGGTTATTAAAAAAAAAAAAAAAAAATACTGTTAAATAGCCCTTGTGTTTAGCAGAAAGTTGGGCTTAAGACACACTAAAAAAATATACAGAATGTGAGTTTTTGCTATTTTGATTAGTGTGTTTTTGGTCTATTTCCCCCTCCCCCACTTGCCATTGCTCTGTCTCGCAATTTTCAGTAATTCTGTATCCAATATATATAAACCGTAGCTTATTCTGTACATTCCATCTGATCTGTAAGGTACTTACTGGCCATCTGATTGTGGTTCTGGTGGTAGCTCTGTGTATAATAAACATTGTGTTATATGGTCTGCTGCTGGACTGCTTGGTAGGATAAATAATTCTATCCATAAATCGATAGCGTGATCCATGCTGGGATTGTATGGTAACGGTTACGGAGTTTAATAGTAGCGGCCTTCTGAATCCCATATGCAGGAATTTGGGTGAACTCTGCAAAAATGTGTTTAACGTGGTAACTAGGCATAGTCTTTGAAGTTTTGGAGTCTAGTTTGACTGTTGGCTATTTTTTTGTTTCACCCACCCTCCCCCACCCATTATTTTTAATTTTAAATAATTGTATCTTTAAATAAAGTGTTCCACATTGGATCTACCTCTTGGGGCATGTAGCAGGTTCAGAAGCTGTTATGAAGAGGCGTGTTCGTCTTCTGTTTCTATACGAGGTGTTTTTCTTTTCTTTTTGTGTTCTCACCGATGTCCTTAAATGACCCCTTCCCTACACGCTCCTGTCTCCTCGCCATGGGATTTCTTTTTTGTGTGTGCTGGGTTCCCTGTGATCTTGTAGTGGCTTTGTAAATCTGCTTATTTAATAGTGTTCCTTGTTGGTAGCTCTAGATTTACTCCATAAAACATCTGGCAACAATCACTATACATAATTCAGTGGGAACAGGGCAGCGCTGCAGACGAAAAGCTGTACTCGTCTTATTCTGTGATGGAGGAATTCGTAAGGTCAGAGGCACTGACCTGATGTGTATGGGGAAGTGTATACTCTATATTGTGGTGTGTGTTTGTTTTTTGTTTTTTTTCTACTATATATTTTTTCTTAAATTTTTCTTGAGTAAAAATGTTTTAGGTTTAAAAAAAAAAACAACAACTTTGCACACTGTTTGTTTGTAGAGCATAAACCCCAATCACTGTTCGATGTTAAGATCTGGTCTTCACGGCAGATTCTCAGATGGGTCACAACCCGAGCACTTTCTCAGTGTGTGAAAGTTGTCACATGAGAAGTAATGCATTGACACCGAACGATGATGACTTTATGAGACGTTTACATTGTAAGAAGTTTAAACTGCCAAGATATGTTGCATTCTTGCTATAAAGCTGATAAAGTGCGTGATTTGCCAAGTTTTGCACGAAGTTTGTTGTATTTTTCCTCTTCCTTCTGTATTGTGAGATGTTTATAGTAAACTCCTTGTACGTAGCTTTGTGTGGAGTTTTGTTTACGTATTCTTCTCAAACCTTTTTCTTTCAATCCTTATTTGACACTCTGACATTCTATAGCGAGCAGTTGATACAAAGTATTTTAAGGTCCAGCTGGTATTGTCCAGTTTGTCTCATTTTCGAAAAATACTGAACTCGATCTTTAAACTGAGTTCTGAACTCTTGAACCTTGGCCTATGTCAACACAGGAGCTTTGGGTAGAGTGCCTGGTGCGGTTTAACACATTTTAGCTACTTGTGCTATTTGAGATGGCCATTTACGACTCCGGCAGGTGGGACTCAGACTATTTTCCTGCAGACCCCTCTTGGTGAACAGGTTGAAAAATTTCGCCTCCTGTTTGCGTTTAGGTGTCCCAAGATTGACCAGCAGGAGGTTGGTGAAATGTCTCATATATAAGACCCCACCAAAGCTTTCTGTATATATCATTCACTTTATGTGAAATATCTCCCACTGCCGATGTAAAGTGTGACATGGTCCTCACTATGATATTTAATAGCGAAATATCTACTATAATAATTAAATTAACTATATTTTGCATTGAGGTGCCAAACACTGTGGTTCACCTCTGTCGCACTTTGAGGTCGTGTGGCTGGGAAAGGTTTTGTGCTTGGTCAACGAAGGCCACTTTTTAAGGGGTTAATAAGAGAGAGACACAGAGTGCCGTTGACAAGCTCCTGCCAAAGGATTTTCTGAGCCAGCGGATATGCACTTTACATTAAACAAGACATTAGGGGCACAGAGAACAGCTCACATAACCAGGTTGTAAATAATTAACCAACTTATTGCTTTTCCTCCCCGCTAATACAGCCCTAATTCTGTTTTAGTCGCCGGCCCAGTGCATTTTCGTAGGTTAAATGTTTCCGTTTGCTGAGGCCTGTGTTATTTGCTACTCCATATTAAATGTGAAGTAGATCTGTAACCGGGGTTTTGTCCTTGTTTTTATTTATTTATTTTCCTCTATTCTTCATGCTGTTAATATAGTGTTTATTTTTAACCCTCGCAATGCATTGTTTGTCGGCTCAGTGTTTGCACAGAAAGGGTTAAGCCACTGCTTTTATTGATGTTTTTTTGCAAGTTCTTAGCTCAGGGAATCCATCCAACTCAATTTGGAGACACGAAGTACTTTAATTTCTCCTGTGACTCTTGCAGGCGTTAAGCGTTTGTTGACCTGTGATCGTCATGGCGTATCAGGTTTGTGATCTACTTGCTATACTGTAAAAGGAAGAGGGGGGGGGGTGATCTTCCTTATTGGCAACCTGGGGATGGAGGTTGGGGGGGGAGAGAGCTGGTGCTATTAGTAGGATATCAGTCTCTAAATCGTCATTTATTCTGGATGTCCTCCTATTGGGGGGGTGTTTTATTTTGTGTGTATATATATATATATAGTTTTTTTTTTTCTTATTTCAAATTTATTTATTTATTTCATCCCATTTCTAATTTTTATCTATGTGAATCATGTCACAAAAGGTCAATTTGTGTGTGGTTGTGTATATTTTGTTTTTACTTTTTAAAGAATGACTTTATTCACTGCCTTTATAGTAACCAAAAACTTCATGTCCCCCTCACCCCGTTTGTGAACTATGAATGACATATTCTGCACTAACCCAGGAAGTTTCTTCACTTCCAGCACGAACCTATTAGCCGTCACTATTTCTAGGCAGTCGTGTGTCGATTAACACATACACACGCAGACAACTGAGTCACCCTGAGTCATCTTTCCAAATAATTCTCATTTTGCCGTGATGCTGTGTTGACCTCCTACATTGCAGCTAATATTAAACTGATACCTCACAAGCGTGTGATACATTTTATTGTCTTCAATAGGCTTCTAACATCAAGGACAAAGCAGGCATTTGTGTCTTTTTATAGAGCAGCGTGTATGCAGGGTACATCACTGCGCTGGCTGCATTGAATTTATTTGAATGGCAGACGGATCTGAGTGCCGGGTTTTCTATAGTCGTGCTTTCTTTTTTTTGTTTTGTGTCGTGTACAGAAGATATTTTTAGCTGCCTACAAGCACCCATTTCGAGCTGCCGTGGCGTTAACAGGTTAGGCTTTTAATTGCGGATATAAATGTAAACGTTAGTCAGCAGTGATGGCCAATCAAGGGCACAAGATGTCTTTTGTCTGAAATCAATTGCTGCGTCTCGGGGATGATGGAATCAAGATAGGCTGTAATTTGTTGCAATTTCTTCAGCATTTTGTTTAATAAGTTCCCCGGCCTTTCTGGAGGAATCACGGCATGTAAATTTATGCAAGGAGTATTCTCTGGGGATGTGGGTGAAAATACAACACCCCTTCGGCCTTTCTAGCAAAGGGATCTTCTAGCTAACAGATCACTCTGGAGCCATGTATTTGTTTTCTTCTATAAATGTTGCTGTGATTGGTGGTTTTGTGGTTTGTTTTAGCTTTTGTTTTGTTTTTTCATGTCTCTGCTGCCCTGTGTATAATGTGGGTAAATTCTGAGTTAACTTTCAATAAGAAACTGGCCTATGGTCAAAACTTGTCTTTCTAAAATACATAAGAAAAAGATTGTATTTCATGTTAAATTTTTTTGTTTTGTTTTTAGGTCTGTGACACCTCCGTGCTAACCATGAGTGGAATACTAAAGCGGAAGTTTGACGAACTAGAAGATGACTCCACCTATTCTTCTTCCTCTTCATCACCGTCCTCATCCAACACTTCATCGGGAGGGGAGTCTGATGATGAGTATGCCCCCAGCCCCAGGCCTTTGATCAAAGATTTCATCCGTAAGTGGCATAATCAGTGGGTTTTGTTTATAGATTATTCTAACCATAATTTCTTACAATGGCTGACTTTATTCTCTATATCTGTCTGATTGGGGGCATCGTTTTGTTTTCACTTCTGCGTGGCTATGTGCACTTAGCCTTGATAGGGTTAATGTCAAGCTATGTTAAGGAATCCTCAACCATAAACTAAGCTCACCTTCTCTGGGCTCTCTGAATCATTCGGCTCATGTCCCAGCTGCTGTGCTGTGAATGCTGGGTGTTCTTTAAATAATCTGCATAGTTTCCATAGTTGCCTGGGTAAAGTTGTCAGCTTTTCAACACCTGTGTAAACAGTTGGGGTGGGAGAATACTTTCCCTTCTGGCTTCATTCATTCATCCTGTCCTATATTAGGTACCTCCTTTTACTGTGTTTTGGGTTTTTATTTGTCACCCCCCAGTGCCTTTCCAAGCTTAAAATTGGCATTTTGTGAACATGCTTGTATGCAGAGGGAGTTGGTTCTCGTTTATGTTCTAGTTTAGAATGTAAAATGTGTCCAGCATCTGTTTTATACACGCAGTTCCATAAATCTTTCTTGCTCCATATTCCATTTCTAGGATATACTTTGTAGCCTGTGAAATATATGCAGTAACCCACCTCTTCAACACGTCTAATGTTAAACCTGTTTGCTTTTTCAGCTACGTCCATCTTGAAAAAAGCAAAACTCCTTAAGAAGAACAAAGTGGAATTTGACCAAGTGACCGTGTTTTATTTCCAACGATGCCAAGGCTTTACCAGCATTCCCAGCCGAGGTGGTTGCACTCTTGGCATGAAGCGCAAGCATTGCTCCGTAAGGCATTACACACTGGAAGAATTCTCTAAGGAACAGCTAAGCCGACGGAGGGAGAGAATGAAGGAACGGTTAAAAGAAGAGAAGCTGCTGACTTTAAAGAACCTGGTACGTGTAAGGTGGCATGTTGTACTGTATGAAATAGTAACCGAAAAATCTAAAACCAGGTTATACTAGCATAAACACATATGGCATGTCAACAAAGTAGTCAGATGCCATCTTTTTCTATTACTTATTTAAAAAAAATATATAACTATATGTTCCTTGCTTGCATGGTTTTCCAATATGTATTTATTTTATCCTCTCCTCTCAGTTCACAATGAATGGAACTATAGAGTCCGAAAAGGCCAATAACCTCTCCATTGATGACATCTGTGACGAAGACATCGATATGAACAATGCAGAGATTGATGATGGCTTTTCTCCACGCATGTATCCTCCCAAGAAACGCAGAGTTTTGCTTAAAAGTGAAGGTGTGAAGAAGATTGACAAATCTGAAAAACACGAGCTAAATGAAATCAGGAAATCGAGAAAGGACTGCGGGTGTGATTGTCAAGACTTCTGTGATCCAGAGACCTGTGCTTGTTACTTGGCAGGAATCAAGTGTCAGGTAGGTTCAGAAACATATACAGTTGGACTTTTGACTCTATAAATAATTGTTTGTTTTTCATTTTCTAGTAAGATTAAACTGTTGAATTAATGCAGATGATGTTGTAAGGAATACATTTTTGCTAATTTTTTTTCGTTCTTCTCTTCAGAGAGATCATTCAACCTTTCCGTGTGGTTGTACAAAGGATGGTTGCGACAACCCGAATGGAAGAGTAGAATTCAATTCATCCCGGGTCCAAACCCACTTTTTACACACTGTTATGAAACTCGAGTTGGAGGAAAAGAGTCAGAGCAATGACAGTGATAGCAATGAAGAGCCTGAAGACTCCGACAGTGAGATACTTAATCTGTTTGGTGGTCCAACTGTAGCAACTAATGTAACTGAAGAAAGAACTGCTCCTCTGACCACATCCTATCAGTTCAGCATGGACTTGGAAGCTTCTGGTGAGAATAGTTGCAGTAGTGACGTAACTGATATCTCCACATCATCCAACCAGAGTGAAGACTCCGAAGAGCCTTATGAAACTACTCCTTCTGACAAATCCCAGTCCGATGTTGACGATGACTATTTGGCAAGGATTCTCCATTTCAATGACTCGGAGTATGAGGAGAACAGCACTGACTGCCAAGATAATTTAAGCTTTTTTCATCCGGCAGATTTCTTTTGTGATAATGTTTACGAGTCTCTTTCTAATACAGGAAAACCTACTAGTGGGATCTACCCAAATTCATTGTCGGACATTTCCAAATGCATAGATGAAAATGCAAATCAAGGAGCAGGTTGCTTTTCTGATGACCGGACATCTTTGGCAACATCTAATGAATCGACTGATTCTGGAAACAATGTGGAACCCCATTTTAAAAACTATATGGATATCAGCCTTTCCTCAGACTGTTTTGAGTTGGTTTATCCTGACTACAACTTGGGACCTCTTTATAACTCGTTAAAGGAGTATGATAATTTAACATATCAGCCAGTTAATATTCCAGGATTTTCCCAAACTGCAGACCCTCATGCAAGCTTTCTGGAATCATTAATTGGTTCATCTGAATCCATTCCAGATACCTCTGTCCCTTTTACTGATAATCAACTTCTCCTTGAAGATGCTTTCAAATCCTCTTTTATGGAATCGCTCATAGCCTAGAATGTGATAACCGACTGATGAACTGTGCTTTTGTTACAGTTCTGAAATGGATTGAATGTTTCTATCTTATTTTTACATGGATTAAAAAAAATATATATATATATTTTCTGTTTACTGCCAGAACCTACCAGTTTACCATACATCAATTTGAACAAATTTTTTTTTTTTCTTTTCTAAAACAAAAGACCTGTATATAGTTTGTGAATACATTCTTAATCTTTGTAAAGCTCTAAACCATTTCTAATGTCTGGCCATATAAATAAGACTTTACAATGCTTTTAAAAACAAAAGATAAGTGTATTGTAAAAAAAAAAAAAAATCCCTTTTCATATGTAGAGAGCACTACTTGTGTTTACAAAGAGTAAAAAAAAAAAAATATATACTTTATACAGAACTATTTATTGCATATTCCAGGAATGCGTCAGAAGCTTGAATTAGCATTGGATTTTATTTAAATTGGAAATACCTCAGATTTATTATGAGTACAATCATATTTTTCATAATAGATCTGCATTATTTATAGAACTACATCCCTGTGTTTTCTGTGCTTTAAGAGAAATATTGTGGGGGTGAGATTTCTCTGCAAGTCACATTCTGAACGTGCAATATTACAGCTGTGACTTAAACATACAGAAAATCTGTCAATTTTTCCAGGTGACTTCTTTTTATTGCTATATTTGCTCCATTAGTAAGCCATACCTTTTAAAACATAATATAAATTCAACTCTATTTAATTTTATGATTTAAATTATTTACTTTATTTATTTTATTTTTTTATTTTTGGTGTTGGGGGTGTCATTGCCATAACATGTTTAGATGTCAAGCAGTTGAAGGGGTACCCAATTCAAAGGGTCCATCAGGATACAGTTGTGAGAACATTTTAAAAATTCTTGAATTTAAAGAGCCAGAAAAGCTGTTTATAAGCAGTTTTTTTTGTTTTGTTTTTTTAATATCTATTCAAAACAAGTGTTCCTTATCACAAAATAAAAGTAGTTTCATTTTATGATCAATTAACATATATTATGCAGGTTATTTATATTTGTGGTTTTATAATAAAGTACTGTCACAAATTAATAAATTTGATTATTTATTGTCTTCATAGCCATTTATAATAGCCTTGAGCATTTTTTTTAAATTTTTTTTCTAAAATTAACTTATATTTAAAATATCAAAGCTTTAAAATCTAATACAGATATTTAAGTAATAATGTTAATAGAATGGACTTTTTTTTTATTGACAACTTTCCAAAATCAGAGTCCAAACTTTGTAAATTTTGACTTATTATATTCTATTTATTTTTAATGAGGCCAAGAGACCAATAGCCATTGCATTGACATTATTGCTGCTCTAACAAAAAGTTAATTTTAGTAATGTGAAAATCTCATAACAGCTTTTCTAGAACCAGCCTACTATCGTGCCCGTCCAGTATCCTGAAAAAAAGGGTTTCTGTAAAATATTAAAGAAATTGACTTATGTTTTGTTGTTAAAGATTGACTTATGTGGCAACTGATTTGTGAAAGGGATTTTAGGAAGAAATATGATGCCTGATCTGGTTAGAGTTCAACTAATTCTTAAGGTTGAGCTAATCGATGATGTGTGTCTTGCTGTGTACCGTGGGTGCCCGAATATGGCGCAAATGCTGTTCTTGTACTGCACCGCCATTGTTCTCTGCCTGCAGGTGGCGCTGTTATTGTGAATTGTCTTAACTCAGGGTAACCCTTTTGTAACTTATTGTATCATACAAAACTTGGGTGGACAATTTTTTTTTTTTTCCTTCAATTTTCAATCTGCAAAAACTAATGTTCTTTCCTGGTGGATGGTTTATAATGGGGGGTGCAGTCCAAAGAAAATACCGTGACTGCCCCGTGGTGGTCTGCTAGTTTATGTTGTGTTCACTTTGTACATATTTATCATCCGTCATTTTCAAGTTTCCTCATGCAAATATAGTCAGGAACGCACTGCACCTACCTGTAGCCATGCTATGGCCCATGCTGTGTGCCAAAGGTTTAAAATGCAGAGCTGTTCATTTTGGTACATTGCACTTTGTTAAAATAATTGTACACAGAAGTGCCTTCACCAGCATTAGAATGTATGTTGGCGTAGATTCTCCACTTACCCCACAAGTGTAAAATGGTAATTTTATTTAGCAGAGCAATATACAAATATTTTTATTTAATTTAAATTTTTTTTGAATTTAAAAAAAAATAAAATATTTTTGGGGAAGAAAATCTGTCAACCTTTCCCATTATTTAAAAAAAATCTAAATCCTTTTTGGCTTTTCTCAGTAGTTTGGCTTTATAGACTGTCAGAACTGTGTGAGCCTTTACAGTTTAATAATGATGCCATTTTGTATAATATTTTTGAATTTGAATACATACGCCTTCTTTTGCTAACAAATATTTAAAAAAACAAAAACAGGCTTTTCTCTCATGAAGAATTAGTGGGCATATTTTGGATAATTTAGCGATATAGTAAATTTCTGGAGTTCTATTGAGTCTGTAAATTAATACAATTGATTGATTTGAAATAACTCATCCCACAAAAACGTGTTTGACATTGTATAAAATGTTGTCAGTTGCCACAATTAATTTTGGGGAAAAAAATGGAGTATAAAACTCTGTCTTGAAAGTGTTACAAGATTGTTATTTTTGTTGTATTATTGGTCACACAGTTCTGACAGGGTAATACTTATTCTAAAAACCTCTCAAGTATTTTAAGAACGATAACCTTTTGGAATTTAAGATGTTGGCAATAATTATCTGGTACTCTATATGTATTTATTGGCACTAATATAACTTTATTTGTTACAACATTCCTTGGTTACGTTGCAAACTGTATATTTAATATATGCGTTAACTCAAATATCCTGCCTTCAGAGTTCTGTGCATTTAATTTATTTGTGCCAAAAACAAAGATTGTATTTAAAAATAAATAAAATAAAAACATTTTGAGGGGGAATACAGGGATTTATTTTTCTTTGCTCCCCCTCATGAATGTGAGTGAGTGTGTGTGTGTGTGTGTATATAAAATCTTGTTTAATTATACATGGGTATTTATTGACACCGCTTATAATTGTACTTCCTTCACAATAATTTGACTTCAAATGTTTTGTGTAAATATTTGTGGGGTTTTTTTCCCTTTTTTTTTTTTTTTGCTTTGAGTGCAAATTGTTTTTGTACATTTTATAAAAGCAGAAAAAATATTGCAGCTCCAGTCTGTCATTTCATTAAAGCAATATGAAGAAAATATCCATTACACTTTCAATAAAAATTTATATAAAAAATATAAAATTGTCATCTTGTTTGTTTTTACCATCAGTTTTAGAATACATTTTATGTAGCCATGAATTCTGTGTGTGTTTTCATGTGTGGATCCCTAAACCTAACCACAAAGTATTTAACCAGGAAAGGTACATTCAGATTATTCTGGTTTACAAGTACGTCCTGGGGATGTTACCTTAGCCCAACATTCAGGGGATTTTACTATTACCCAATTTAATGGCACTCGTTTTATCTACCTCGGAAGGATAAGGAGCAGGCAAAAATGGATTTAGTTTGCCTGTAATTTACGGCAGAAAGGGATCACTGAGGTTCTGAATTCTCTGAGACACGTAATAATTGGTTGTCTGCTGTCGCTAAACTTCCTGTATCTGATCGGTTACTGTTTTCCTAAAGTAATTAACCCAGAATCATATACTCAAGAAATGGATTAAACTGCCTTTGAATGAAAATAACTGGATATTGCCTCTAAAAGGAACACTCCTGGCTATGTATGAAGTTTCACTGTATTTGGGTAAAAAATGGGGAGATTAGATTGGACTGTAGTCACAATGTTGACTTATGTGCCATGAAAATCAAAAACAGTCTAAGGTTGTTTAGAATATGCAAAAATGAAGGGGCACAATCTAAATAAACCATGACAAGGTGAACATTATACTCTTATTTCAGATCTTGGATTGACTTATGCCATTTACTTAGACATTTTAAATTATTTAAATTTTTTTTTGTAATTGATGGATTTAAGGTTGGTACGGTGATGCCTAAAAAAATTACTAGCTATATATATATATATATATATATATATATATATATATATATATAATATTTTCCAAGGTCCCAGCACTCAATGTTCCCGGTCTTTTCCATGCTCCGGTGCAAGTAATCTCTGACCAATATATAGCATCCAAGTAGAGAGCACTCTGGAGTCTTCGTTTTATATCAAAATAAATACTGCTTTATTGTGCAGAATACAAAAATGTCGACGTTTCAGTCACAATAGACTTTTCTCAAGACCTATATATATATATAATCTCCAACGTTTTGCACAACTTTTTTTTTTATACAATAGGTATATTTAAAAATCAGTACTGGAATTCCCAAATGTTGAAGTTCCTGCTTAAATGATACAGAATATCCCTGCTCTTATCATGTTGGAATAATAACTGATTATAAAGAAATTTTATTCTTCACCATAACAACCTCCACAACCTATAATGGCATTGCCACATGAATAACATTTCACAACAGTTTCCTTACAGTTTCAGTACCTCATACTACAAATTCTTGGTTTAAAGGAACACTATAGGGTCAGGAATACAAATATGTATTTCTGACCCTATAGTGTTAACCACCATCTGCCCCCCCCCAACTTGCCTCCCTAAATATAGTAAAATCTTAGTATTAAAGTCTGCAGCCGCTGCCTCTACCCCTGGCCTGCCTGCATGCCTGACATCATCAGAAGTGATTCTGTGAGCCAATCACAATGCTTTCACATAGGATTGGCTGAGACTGTCAAGGAGGCAGATCAAGGGCAGAGCCAGCACAAGTCAAACACAGCCCTGGCCAATCAGCATCTCTTCATAGAGATACATGGAATCCATACATATCTATGAGGAAAGTTCAGTGTCTCCATGCAGATGGTGAAGACTCTGAATGGCAGTCAGTGTACAGCAGTGCCACAAGAAGCACCTCTAGTAGCCATCTGAGGAGTGGCCTGTGAAGTTATCACTAGGCTGTAATGTAAATACTGCATTTTCTCTAAAAAGACAGTGTTTACAGCAAAAAGCCTGAAGGTAATGATTCTACTCACCAGAACAAATTCAATAAGCTGTAGTTGTTCTGGTGACTATAATGATTCGGTTATAGTATATCTGCTGTTCTTCAAGACTTGGTGAAATTGTGGATTCTGTGTTACCAGACCGTTTGATCTTCAGATTTGGAAAACCGAAAAGTGTTCAGATTCTAGGCTGTACGATTAAAGGGAGATGGGTATTTTGTGTGTTTACTCATCAGTCACATTATAACCACCTGCCTAATATCCTGTAGGTCCCCCTCGTGCTGCTTAAGCAGGTCTGATTTGTTGTGGTATGGACTCCACCAAACTCCTGAATGTGTCCTGTGGTATCTGGCACCATAACATTGGCAGCAGATCATTTAAGTCCTGCAAGTTGGGAGGCGGGGCCTCCATGGATCGGATATGTTGTTCCAGCACATCCCATGCTCGATCAGATTGAGATTTGGAGGCTGAGGCAACATCTTGAACTCTGTCATGTTCCTCAAACCATTCCTGAACAATGTTTGCACTGTGGCATGGTGCATTATCCTGCTGAAAGAGGCCACTGTCGTCAGGGAATACCATTGCCATGAATGGGTGTACGTGGTCTGCAACAATCTCCAGTTAGGTGGTACATTGCTCTGGGCAATGTTTTGCTGGAAAACCCCGGGTCCTGAAACTCATGCGGATGTTACCTAGGGGAACAAGATTGTAATATCTACATGAGTTTACAAGGTTTCCCAGCAGAACAGTGCCCAGTGCATAACACTGCCTCCATCAACCTACCTTCTTCCCATAATGCATCCTCTTGCTGTCATATTTTCCCCATGTGAACAACATACTCACACCTGCCCATCCACCTGACCTAAAAGGAAAGAAAATGCAATTCATCAGACCAGGTAACCACCTTCCATTGCTCCAAGGTGCAGTTCTGATGCCCCCGTCCCCGTTGAAGGTGCTTTTGGCAGTGGACAGGGGTTATCGTGGGCAACAACGCACATGCTTTTTGGTGAAAACTGCATTAAATGGCTGCAAATTTATTTTGGTGAATATTTTAAACAAAATCCAGATGATTAAATTAAAGTAGTTATGGTGCTTACATACTGACTTTTTAAAGTGAATCACAAGTACCCTTGTTTTTGTTTTGTTTTTTGTGAATTCTTTATTTTTGTCGTGCAGTTGGTTACAGGGAATTGACAGACACCACAACAGCGTATTGCATGAGTTCCTAGAGTTAGGTAGTGGCATTAAAGTTTGCACTTTTTTTATATACATATTTTTTTCTCATGCTTGACTATACTGTTAGAACGTCAGAATAAAAATATAAGTAAATAAAACAATGCCTAACATCGCCATTCTAGCTATGCCAATATAGTTATGATATCACAGGCTAAGCATGCTTGCATATTTTTTATGTTTAACGCAGTTTCTACCAAAACATAATACTCATGATTGGTTGGTCAGCGTGTCTGCAGTCTTGTCTAGTGCGTCAGGGTGGTAATCAGAGAGAGTACAGTTTTAAATGGATTGTGGTGGAGGTCCTTAAACATTGTTCAAACAGATAGTCCTGTTGATTCTTAGCCGGAGCGAGAGTTCATACATTTACTAGGCAAAAAGGGAAAAACGTCCCGGTGAGCAGTCCCGAGCTCAGAGTTCCGGTTCAAGTAGTGGCTGCTGCATAGGGTTCCGCCGGTCGTTGCCGTGGCACAAATTCCGGTGCGCTGGCCGAGTTCTTCCCAAAGCTGCTGCTTGTGGGAGCTCTCTGCACCGTTGCAGATTCCAGGGTTGTCAGAGGGAGGTTTAGCTTCTCCAAGGCCCCTGCGGCCTCTTATAGGTTCCGAGCTAGCACAGGGCCGCTTGCGCCCTCTATGCGCAGTATCCGGCCCAGTCCCCAGCGGTATCGGATCTGTTGCTGCCGTAGGAGGGAGGTGATCTGCCGGAGGGACCTTCTCCAGGACAGTGTACCACGCTATAAATCCGTATAGAAAGAGAGGGACGTTTCTTCAAAGGTATATGCTGACAGGCCTTTGATGGTGTCAATTACTGCCCTTTTGTCTCTTGCTGTTTGAAAGCGGAGGATTACATCCCCAGTGGCCGCCGGTGGTGCTGTAATCGGCTTTGGGATGCGAAAGATCCCATCCAGCGTGATCGTTTTTGCCACTTTTGGGGTCAAAAGCACGGTTAGCAGTCGCCTGGCGTAGTGAGGGAGCTCTGCCTCTGGTATGGAGTCCGCGACCCCTCTTAGCTTCAGGTTATTTTGGCGTCTCCTATCTTCTTGTGTGGCCAACTGCTGTTCATGGAGTGTCGCTTGCTGTTTCAGATCGCAGACTCCCGCTTGCAGTTCCACGATTTGGCTTGTGTGGTCTCTGGAGGCGCTTTCCACAGTCCCCATCCGGGCGGACAGGCCTTTCAGGTCTTCCCTGGGTGTTGCCACCACCGCTGAAATTTTCTCGTGGTGGGTGGCCATAAGTTCCGTGATAGCCCCCATGGTTACCAGTGTGTGGGTTGATGTGGGTGGCCGTGGTCTCTCAGGCGGTGGCGGTACGCTGGTCGGTATGAGGCTCCCTTCCCCTTCGTCGGATGTCTCATCCGAAAAGTCTGTACATCCTCCATGCAGGGACTCCATTGTTGCGCCCACAGCCTGGTGGGCCTGTCTCCACATGTCCTCGATGTTCATACCCTGACGGGGCTTGTCAGGTTTTTGTTTTTTCATTTTTCTGACCATGTTTGTCAGGTGTGTCTAAGGGCACTTTGGGGGTCCGTTGGGCCGTGTTGGGCTACGATATTAGCAGATTTGAGCAGTTTTAATCGGGAGCTCCACGGCCATGAGACTATCCGTGTCAGTAGCTAGACTCCGCCCTCCGAGTATCCTTGTTTTTAATATACCTGCTTGATTATTCATAAGTAAACAGTGAATTGTGACAAACTGTTACATTTAGGGCAATATAGCCTTGATGGGAAAAAAAATGCTATTTTTAACAAATTTATGTATTATCTAATGACTTGCAGGAAGTGCCTTGGACAAAGTGTTTATCTCGCAGACATCTGAAAGAATAATCCCCACTTGTCTCTAACATAGTAGGTTTTAGAGTGACCTCTGACACCCCTAGTCCTCCATAGACCTTAGCCCTACTTTGTAGCAAGTCATACTTCCATGCTGATATCGTTGTATAATTGTCCACTATAAATAAAGTTAGGTGCAGGTAA